TTACAGGGCAACGGCCCCCCCCCCCCTCCCCCACCTATAATATCATCCAGTGTTTATTTAAAATCATGCAATGTACAGGTGCATCTCAATAAATTAGAATGCCGAGGAAAAGTTAATTTATTTCAGCAATTCAACTCAAATTGTGAAACTCGTGTATTAAATAAATTCAATGCACACAGACTGAAGTAGTTATTTAATACACGAGTTTCACAATTTGAGTTGAATTACTGAAATAAATGAACTTTTCCACGACATTCTAATTTATTGAGATGCACCTGTATGTGATATCATATTTTGTGAGTGATGTTTTATGTTCAGTATCATCTGAATCTGTGAGGAGGCACGTGAGTGTCACGTGTATGTTCCTGTTGAGTTCCTGTTTGCCCTTATTTGGTTCTTCCTGTGTCCTGTCCTCACTGGTTATCATTTGTGTCCAGCTGTGTTTAATTAATTCGTTCATTTGTTCCCAGGTGTGTCCCATTGGTGTCTGTGTATTTATAGTGTGTTCTGCCCCTTGTTTCCCGTCTGCTGTTAAATGTCATCCTTGAGTGTACACACTGTGTGTGTAAACCTTTGTTTGTTGGATTAAAGACCCACTCAAAGTATTCTCCTCCGTTTCCTCGTGCCTTCCCCGAGTGTATCGTGACAGTGAGATTACTGGGGTGTTTTTAGGAGAATAAATATGAGAAGACTCAACAAAAGTCTTCATTTACTTCAACTGAATTTAACCTCATTGCTGTCTTGAGAACCAATTGTGAGATATTAAAGAGATGTGATTTTTGTATCTGCATGTATCAGAGGAAAATTATATTGCTCCTTGGCTTCTGTTTCATGGCTCTGGAGATCTGAAATGTATCAATTTCATCTTGGATTTTTCCTGCTAAAATTCCTTGGGTTCATTAAAAATAAACACATTTTACAGAAAATATATAAAGTTATAAAATGAATGTGAGTAGAATATCTCATAATTTGATGATATATAATTTGATGATGATTAATTTAATAACTTGATGAGAAATATTTGAGTTTCTATTATATCTCTGACATTTGATTTCAGACTGTTGGGTTTGAGGTCAAAACTCTGAGCAGTTAAGGAGGTTAGGAGAGTAATTTGAGAGGGAGATGTCATTTTTGTCTTCTTTCCCACCAGTGAGCAAGTATTAGAGGAAAATCATTTTGCTCATTGGCTGCTCTTTCATAGCTCAGGAGATCTCAGATGTGAGAAAAATTCATCTTGGATTTTTCTTGCTAAAATTCCTTGGGTTCATTAAAAATAAACCAATTTTACAGCAAATGTAGAGCTAGAACATGAATGTGAGTAGCATAACTCAGATCATTTGATAAGTATTTGAGTTTATACTGAGATCTTCGTTCTTGGCTTCTTGGGAAATCTGAGTGCAGTTTGAAATATTTTGAGATATTTTCTGAAACTCTTAAGGAGGCAATTAGAAATTATTGGGGTCTTTATCACGAGAATAAATCTGAGAAGTAGGAGACTCAAGCAAAAGTCTCAATTTGCTGTCCTTTTAAAATGTATTGTGAATAATATTAAGAGATGTTGTGTGATTTAGTTTTCTTTCCTGCCTGTGATCAAGAGGAAATTATATTGTTGAGGAATGTGATGAGAAATGTTTGACTTCTCTTTGAGATCTCTAACTTTTGATTGCAGACTTTTGGATCCTGGGAAATCTGAGCACAGTTTGAAACATTTTGAGATGTCTTCTGAAACTCTAGATAACATACATGTGAGATTTCTGTGTCTTTTTCTCA